AAGTATATGTGCATATAATTGAAATCAGCCATGATGAATACAAGCAACAAATTATTTGTAGGACACATTCGAGTAGATTTATAACTCTAACGCATCAGTATATCATTGTACTGTAACCACAATACAAAGCTTGTTGTTGCTGATAATGACTACGAACAACTTAAGTTTCACGTAGAGTTTAATTTGGGCATTTGGGAATTCAGTTTGGTCTATTCATAGTAGTTGTTTCTTTAAAAAATAAATTTGAAACTATTAACCTTTTTTTGTTTGTTTCAAATGCATATTAAATCTGAAATACAAGAAAGAAACAAGAATCATAACATATACAAAGAGTCAAACTAAATATAGTTTTTGATGCCCCAAAAATGGTTTAAGTTATCTTAAGGTGGCGGTTAACTGTTTTTAATTGGAAGGTAATTCAATACTTATACTAACCGGATAACCACAGATTATTAAGAAATCATCATCTTCCAGAACAAAAAACTCTAAATAAAACGAACTACATCAAGTTAAAGACTCAAAAACCATAAACTAATTTTTTTTTTTTTTTAAAAAAAACCGGCTAAAGAGCGTAAAGAAGAAAGACTCCATAACAAAACTATAAATAAATCAGATAAAAAGAAACAAATAACTAGCAAAACCAAGGTTCTAGAGATATTGAAGAATTTTAATCGGTGGTAGAGAAACCGAGATCATGATCAGGTGGATCAACAGATAGCCTTAGAACATCTAAAGCCTCAGATACTTTAGACTTGAGTGCCTCTGGTGACTCGAGCAGGTGCAATATCTCTGCTTGGTCCATCTCCAACAACATTCCTGTCACTTTAGCCACGTGAACTGGTTCGTGCCTTTCCACTAGTGGGTAAAGTTTCTCTCCAAGCATCTGTATAGGACCAACCAATTTCTAATAATTAATTGTAAACACATAACCATATATCAACATTTCATGCGTGTTTTACTCTAAGACGACGAAGGTTTCAAGATTAAAAAAAAGGAGCAAACCCGTGTGCGATCAGCTGGATTAGCGGAAGCTAAGGCAGAAGTGAGCTTAGAGATTGGAAGAAGAGGAGTTTTCTGGTGATTAAGAGTAGAATCAAGAGCGATTGAAGAAGCATCTACTAGTAAAGGCATGATAGGAGGCAGGATTCCTTGCGGAACACTCGATTCCATTCCGTTCCCCCCGTTATCCGCACCATTCATATATCTCATTCCCGGACTTGGGTTACGTTGCATAATCTGCCAATTCCAATCCAAATTCAGTTTCTTGATTGCTGAAAAACTATAAACAAACTCAGTTACTTAACATACTTGTTGTTGTTGGATGTGATGCGGCATGTTAGTAGCACCACGCCTGAGTCCCATTCGAGGACCGGCCTGAGGTTGTCTATGAAGAGGAAAAGGCATTATGAAGTTGCCAGCTGGTCCAGAACCTGGACGCATCCCGGGGATGAACTGAGGCTGGAATCCGTATCCAATGGCCTGGGACGGGACCATACTTGGTCCGTTCTGGCCTACGTACATGTGCTGAGGTGGACCAGACATTGGCCCACCTGGCGGGTGGTGGAACCCCGTCATTGGAGATGGCACTGACCCTGCTGGTGCTCTAATCTGTGAGAACATTGCCTGAGAGCAACAAAAGTAATTAGTCATATAGCACAACTTCAACAAACCCATTTGTTATTATATATGTAAAGAGAGTTTAAGAAACCTGTAAGTGTGCTCGCCTGTCTTCTTTGCGCTGCGCAAGAGCAATGTAAAGTGGTTTCCTTCCTATCATCTTCCCATTCATTTCATTCAGCTGCATTGAGAGTTCATCTTTAAGATATCAAAAGAGAAGATAACAAAAGAATACGAATAACGGCTTTAAAACTCACGGCTCTTGAAGCTTCTTCAGGATTGGAATACGCGACAAAACCAAATCCTCTGCTCATTCCTTGTGGATTAACCATAACCTACACTTAATCAATGAACTTTGATCAAAGATAAATTTAACATCAATATATGTATGTATGAATTGATTTTAATTGTTACCTTGGAAGAGGTTACATTTCCAAACTCAGAGAACATCTCCTTGAGTTTCTCATCATCGACGCTATCATCAAGATTTTTCAAATACAGATTTGCTCCCTGAGATTTCTCAAACCTGTTCATCCTTTCCTGCTCGAATTTCATTCTCAGCTCCTGCTCTCTCTCAGACTTCTTCTGAGCCCTCCCAACGAACAACACATCATCCCCTAAGCTAATCCCATTCATCTTCTCAACCGCCGAAGCCGCTGCTTCTACACACTCAAAGTTGACAAACCCGAAACACCTCGAGTTTCCGCTCTGGTCCCTCATCACAACCGCGCTCGATATCACTCCAAATTTACCAAATGTCTTCCTTAGCTCATCCTCACCAATCTCCTTGGGGAGATTCTTGACGTACACGTTAGTGAAACGTGGTGTAGGGGCGTCTTCGTCCCGAGCACGTTCTTGGCGTCTGATGAAGTGTCCCACGTAGACTTGCTTGTCGTTCATTAGCATTCCGTTTAGCTTGTCAATTGCGGCTTCAGCCGATTCCTCTTTCTCAAACTGGACGAATCCATATCCCTTGGACCGTCCAGCCACGTCGGTTGCAACTTTGCATGAGAGGATTGTTCCAAAACTCGAAAACGTCTCGAACAAAGCCTTATGGTCGATTGAAGCGTCAAGGTTTTTGATGAAAATGTTTCCTTTGCCGCTTATTCGCGTGCTCGGGTCACGGTTCGAGAGCATGATCCGGATGGGTCGGTCAAAGAGAGGAGTATAGTTCAAGGCCTCCATTGCGCGGATAGCTACGAAAATAAATCACATTTTTTTAAATCAAACTTATATAAAAATATAGGAAATTAAGATCTTTATTGAAAAAGACATACGAATTTTACGATGAGCTCGGTATTTCAAGAGAATTATCAAACAAATTAACCACGTTTAGATTAAGCATATTTTTAAATAAGGGATTGTTATGTAGTGTCAATCATAGCGAAGAGCTAAACATAGTCGAATGATCCAACATGTACACTTAAGCTGAATAGAATTTTCTTAAAATTAATCATAAAAAAAATCAATGACGTTATAATTTGTTTATCTTTGTTTTCCCAAAAATATAAAATTTGTTCATCTTTGTTTGTTAAAACGTTCAAAGTATAATCCTAAAGGGTGAAAACGATAGTAATTTTCAGAAACAAAAATTGTAATGCAATCCATATGATACTATTAATTTATTTTGCTAGACAAGAAACTCTAACTTGCAAATCAACCGGTAGAAGAAATGATATTTACCATCATTAGGGTTACTGAAATTGACGTAGGCATATCCCAAAGATCGACGGTTCTGATCGCGACAAACTCGAACCGAGACAACATTACCGATATGCTTGAACATATCGAACAGATGCGCTTCGGACACTCTCTCGTCCAGATCTCCTGCGTAAAGCGACGAGTTCGGGTGGGTTTGATCCACCACCAAAGCCGGAGTTGGAACGGCAGGTATCGAAACCGGAACCTGAACCGGAGTCTGAGTCGTCGGACTCGGAACTTGATCAACCATCGCCGTCGGTGCAACCCCTGTCGCAACCGCAGCCGCCATAACGGTGAGTTTACTTTTTTTACGAGACGATTTGTGGTTTTCTTCTCGTTAGGAAATGAAAATCACCGAATTTGAAAGAAACAAAAAAAAAGACGATTAGATTCTTCTCTAAGGTTTTAAAGTGAGAATGAGATTTGTGCTTGTATTTTCTTCAAAATTTATAAGTAAAATTTACTTTTTTGAGAAAC